TATTCGGAAATCTCTGATGTAATCTCCTGCAATCCACCAAATGATGGCTTACGGTAAGACTGAACATGTTACGATTGAAGAAACACTGCTAATGACAGCAGCAGCATCTGTGTATTCACCGAAACTTCACACCTCGATTGGGCACTTTGTCAACTTTGCCAGATGCAGCAAAGCTGCTAAAAAGCATGACGTTGCCCACCAAATGTAGCACTTTTGTAGATATAAGAATCACTAAAATCAGTGACAGTGAAAATTCAAGTGGTTTAAAGAATGAAAACATTGAATTATCGATTATGTGGTGCCAAATTACAACACATCAGGAGAATGAATTGACAGACACCAGTTTATGAACAGTCAAGTTCTTGTTTAATAAACACCAATGCAATCTAGCGGTGTGCAGAAATAGAGGGAGGGATTATCTGTGGTGGAACCAGAGAGCCTGCAATATATGGTAAATAAATGCTGACGAACCGGTCTTTTGAGATCTGTTGCCTCCCCAGGCTGAAATTGTTCGGTAGAGGCAGCTGACATCGTGCGGTTTCCTGCAGTCACTTGAGTGGTCAAAGAGAGCCTTCGACGTTTTCGCTTGCTGCTAATGCCTCCCATTCCGCCAGCAGAACTCGCATCGCTAGCTGCTGCTGCTGCTTCTGGGAGCAGCCTGTCACCGAAGAATGCCTGCATCAGGTAGTTAGGGTAGATTTCCTCCAAATCTGACTTCTTCCTGCTTGAACATCGCTTCTTGCCGAAGGTGGGGACTGCGGCAGCGAGAGGCAGTCTGGAGCCAGCGGCAACTGCTGCTGCTGGCAATTGTGAGTTCTCTGTCTGGGAAGGGATTATGGAATTCGAAATGGGAATCCTCATCTCTCGAGAAATCAACAGAACGTTTTGGACGGCAGCGTGTTACGAGCACCCAACCGACGCACAGATCGACAACCAAATACTGCAACGTCAACTCCCAAAACTCTGAACTACCAACCTGCGAAATCAATGCAATTATCGATTTAGCGCCATTAACACCTATTGAGGTGTTAGATGTCTCGCCTCACGTTGAGGTGTGGCATCGACTCATATCGGGGCCTCCAAAGCTGGCTACCTTGAGATCGCTCAGCTCAGCACACTGAAACCATGCACCCATCAAATAATGCGAGTTTAAACTGGCCAGAAAACACACAAATACTATAACATACCTGGTACACGCGAGTAGGTCTGGCACGGAAGCCCCCAACGCCGAGGTTAC